GTTTAGGGCTTTCTAGGGAAGTACCAGCACCTTGAATTGGACCCAGACTTCAACTGGGAGCCAGTGAAGCTGCTAGAGGACTGGCGTTATGTGAGAATAGCAGCCTGGCAGCTCCATTTTGTACCAGCTGAAGCATCCAGGCCGTCTTCAAGGGCAGCCCCACGTAGAGCGCGATACAAGAACCCAGCCGGGAAGTTACAGGTCATGCGTCACCACTGCTAGGCAGTCCTTGTCCAGGTAAGGACGCAGCTGCTGGATCAGCCAAGGCTGAAGGGAAGCTTCACTAAAAAAAGTAATTTCCATATTACTTCAGTTTAGAAAGCACTGTCCTCTGCTTAATTGGATTCCACAGGCCCTCGGCTTTCCAAGAAGTCACTTGAAACACAGAATTATTATGAATACATTGCTTGCCCTTGTATGCGTGCAGATCTTATGCCTGCTACAAAAATATCTGTCACAAATTAAAATTCCACAGGGTACAAGAAAAAAAATAAATCTAACTGACCCAAAAGAAAAACAATCAATAAAACATAAATGAACTTTTCAGCTCCCAGTAAAGATACCAGTGGAACCCATCACACCGCACTCCGCCATCAATTATATCACACTGATTATTAATGCCGCAAATGCCAGTGATTTATCTTAACGCTGGCTAAACAGGAATGGTGGGGGAGAAAGTAAATCAAAGGCGAGGGAGAAGGAACCGGGCAAAATGCCCAGAACTTTGTCCTTCCAAAGTATCTAAGCCACGGCCAATTGCCCCAAATAACAATCAGACCCCAATTAGTTACCTGCAAGGGGAGAGCAGAATCAAACAGAGGCTGAATTAAACTACCCAAAGGCAACTTCTGAGCAGGATAAAGAAATCTTCTGCAGCCTCTGAGGATCAGAATTTCTTCAATTCATCTTGGAATTCCACTACAAATACGTGATTTCAGATAAAGCTCCCAGGCCATACATCACGCTTTTCCAAGTTTCCTTCTCTGATCAGACATTTCCTTGTGAAATCTGGGGAAAGCATGACTTTATCTTTCTCTGGATCCCAATGGAATTCCCCTTCTGCCTGGATGCATGGAGGAGGTAGTTTTTAGACGATATATGCAGAAGCTGGACAATCTTTGGTCTCGCTCTCACTTCCCAGGAAGGACCACAAATGCCTTGGGTATGTTTCAAATCAAGATGAAAACTTTCAGGGAGTTCCAAAACTTGACGCAGGATCAAACCCACCTGGTGTATTAGATTTATTATTTATTTATTTATTAAAACATTTGTATGCTGCCCATTCGCTGAAGCCTCAGGGCGGCTCACAACATAAAATTAAAATACAAGAAATAACAATATAAAATAAGTTGCCCTGGCCAGATAAAATAAGCAAATAATATTAACAATTAAAATGACGCTTAAATAAAAAGGTCTTCACCTGGCGCCGAAAAACAAATAACTAAGGCTCCAGGTGGACCTCTCTGGGGAGCGCATTCCATAGATTGGGCGCCACCGCAGAGAAGGCCCTCCTCCGGATGCTTACCCTCCTAATATCTTTCATGGAGGGTTCCCGGAGAAGGGCCTCTCCCGCAGATCTCAAGGGGCAGGTGGGCGTATATGGATGTAAGCGCTCCTTCAGGTAACCAGGACCCAAGCCGTTTAGGGCTTTATAGGTCATCACCAACACCTTGAATTAGGCCCGGACTTCAATGGGGAGCCAGTGAAGCTGACGGAGAACTGGAGTCATGTGAACATAACGCCCAGGCCCCGTCAGCAGCCTGGCAGCTCTGTTTTGCACCAATTGAAGTATCCGGACCGTCTTCAAGGGTAGCCCCACGTAGAGCGCGTTACAGAAGTCAGATTGAGCTGTGGGAAGCTGCCCGGGCAAGCCAAGCGCTCCGACACTGGCTCTCCAAAAGGAGGTTTCTGAAAGCAAAGTGCAAGCAATTACATTGTGGGAGGCAGGCTGAGTCACAACTCGGGCAAGGCAGCCTCCGCAATCTGTAACCCTGGTTTCCAATGCTTAAGTGTACAACCAACACAATCCACAAGTCCTTGCAATACTTTAATTGCAACCTGGGCCGCTCAGGTAGCTCCATGACATACCCTACAAAAAAGGAGTAATTTCACCCCCTTCTCTGCTGTCTTAGAGATCTTGGCAGGAGGTGGCTGCGGTGTGGTTGGGAAATCCAAGTCACTTAGATGTTGCCATGGATCAACACACCCTTAAACTCCCTAAAACTCCCGAATACGCAACTCCTCTTGAGCCTCAAGCAATTGCAGAAATAAGACAGCACACACTCAAGTGAAAGGGAACATGAAAAGCAAAAAAATCAGCTAAGGAGGCGGCAAAATAGGTTGATAGTATTTTTAAAATTGAAAATTATGAGATGGCAAGGAGCGGGAGACGACTCAGGCACCCTCTGAGTGGGCAAGGTTTTGAGATATCCAATTCCGTCTGGCAGGAAATCTCTCTTTCATTCTACTGATCCTATTTCTATACTGCTCCTCTGTGGGTAGTTCACCAGAGAAACATTCTAGCACTGAGTCAAAACAGAGGGGAAGAACCAGAGATGGATCCGATACTGGACTTGTGAAATCAGTATGCTTGGAATATGCGTTATGTTCACATGACTCCAGGCCTCCGTCAGCTTCACTGGCTTCCCATTGAAGTCCGGGCCCAATTCAAGGTGTTGGTGATGACCTATAAAGCCCTGAACGGCTTGGGTCCTGGTTACCTGAAGGAGCGCTTACATCCATATATGCCCAGCCGCCCCCTGAGATCAGCGGGAGAGGCCCTCCTCCGGGAGCCCTCAGTGAAGGAAATTAGGAGGGTAGGTACTCGGAGGAGGGCTTTCTCTGTGGTGGCGCCCAATCTATGCAATGTGCTCCCTAGGGAGGTCTGCCTGGCGCCGTCGTTGTTTTTCGGCGCCAGGCGAAGACCTTTTTATTCAAACGTCATTTTAATTGCTAATATTATTTGCTTAATTCTTTGGCCAGGGCGACTTATTTTATAATGTTAATGTGTTTTATATTTTTAGTGTTTTATATTTTAACTGATGTTTTGTAAGCCGCCCCGAGGCTTCGGCGAATGGGGCGGCATAGAAATTTTTAAATAAATAAATAAATATTGAGGGAGGGAATTGAATTCATGCCCTGTGGAGTTTCAGGTAAGAGAGCCAGTGGACACGGATTGGGGGCCGCAGGCCAAAGCTTCTGGAGGCCACATGCTGCTTGCCCTGACTTCAAAGCTGAGAACCCAGGCTGAGCGGGAGGCTTTTGCCTGGCTGGGACGGCACCCCAGGGCTTGCTTCTGGCTCCCCCTCCTGGTGCTCAAAAGCTCTGCCTTCTGAGCTGGGAGAATCCACCTGCACAGCATGGACTGTTGCAGCCAAAATATCAGTGCATCTTAAGAGAGAAACCCATCCTGGTCTATTGCAGCTTTCGGCTTGCTGAAAGTTACTCCTGTGCCAAAGTTACTCCCCATCAGTCCTGGTCTACACCAAAACTGGGGAACTGACACCCCAAAAGAGCCAGTGTGGTGAGAGCCAGTGTGGTGGAGTGGTTAAGAGCACGGGACTGGGACTCAGGCGATCCGGGTTCTGGTCCCCGCTCAACCATGGAGCCCACTGGGTGACTCTGGGCCGGTCACAGACTCTCGGCCCAGCCTACCTCACAGGGTTGTTGCTGTGGGCATAATACTGAGGGCAGGAGAGGCAGGATGACAGGCAGTGTGGCGTAGTGGTTAAGAGCACGGGACTGGGACTCAGGCGATCTGGGTTCTAGTCCCTGCTCGGCCATGTAGCCAACTGGGTGACTTTGGGCCAGTCACAGACTCTCGGCCCAACCTACCTCACAGGGTTGTTGTGGGAAGATGGAGGAGGAGAATGATGTAAGCTGCCTTGAGCCCTTTGTAGGAAAAAGGCAGGATATAAATCGGAAAATAAATAAATTAATTTTAAAAAAAACTCATGTTGAGGAGATACCCACCAAGGGAGTGTTTTTCTGGTCCTTCCCTGCTCTCCCCACACTTGGGCATCGCACATGAGTCAGCAGGCTGACGAAAGCCCCGGTCAAGCGAAACCCTTTGGGATACAAGCGGTCCAGTCGGCCACAGTGAAGGCCGCCCACAACGACCAAGACGAGTCCCAGCGGAGTCGCCTTGACACTGCTGCCCAAGAGGGTTTCTGAGATCACGGCCTGGTGTGCAGATGCCCAGAAGTGCACAAAAGGGGTGCGAAGAGTTCAATATGATTTAATAATTTGCAATTTGATTTAATCACTTCAACACCCGAGAAGCTGCAAACGCACCCTATGACACATTTTTATAGCATGAACAACTTATCCCATGGGTTATAACATCAGAAACCTATTCTGAGTTTCACGATTTTGGTAAGCAAACATGTTGCTCTTAAAGCAGATTTCCTGCTGTTTTGCTTATCGTGCAGTTTCACCTGCTTCCCTGTTCCCTCTTTCAGAAGCTGGTCTTGCACGGATCACGCCTTGAGCAGCAAGCTCACCTGTACTAGCAAGCGGCCTCTTTTTAAGCACAAATTCCCTGAACAGATTTACTTCTCACAGTGCAACGGCTTCTAGCGCATAACCATTTCTTGCAGGCTTTCCTATCACGAGCACCTGAACGAAGAATCCCACCCCGGTCCCTTCCAGAGGAGGCGGAAGAGGGGAGGCGAGGGAGGCTATTGCAGAGCGAGAGTGGCTAGTGCCAGGCTTGCCGGGGCTACTCCAGAGACCCCTCAAACCCCCGCGATTCCGCCCGTTCCTTCAGCGCGGAAAGCTCCGCTGGGGCTCCCACCAGCCAAGGCAACGTCCGGACTCGCCCTCGCGGGCGCCTCGCTTTCCATGGGACGCAAGCCACGCCTCTCACGGCGCCTTCGCCTCGCCCCGCCCCTCCAGGGGGGGGGGCAGCCTCTGCCCTCACGCAAGATGGCGGCCGCCGCCTCGCGCCGCCCGCTTTCCCGGGCCGGGCGGTAAGGGCGGAAGCGCCGGCGGTAGCGGCAGCGGCAGCAGCAGCAGCAGCAGCAGCAGGAGGAGGAGGAGGAGGCCGGCTGGGCAGGAGGGCCCCCACCATGGACTGCTACACGGCCAACTGGGACCCGCTGGGGGAGGCGGCCTATTACCGGTCAGTGAGCTGCCCCTTGCTCCGGCGTCGCCCCGCTCGCCGGGGGCCGGGCCCTCCCTGCGTAGCCCCTGCCCCCAAAGGAGCCCCCAGGCCCCGCGGCCGCTTCCGCCCCCCGCGGCACCCTCGCCTCCTCTCCCCCCCTCCCCGTAACAGCCCTCTCCCCCGCCCCACTCGCCCCTCTGCAAAAAGGCGCCCTCGCAGCGCGGCTTGGCGAGCCCCCCGCCCCGCAAGGCAAAACATTTGCACGTGCTCAGGCCAAGCGCCGTACTCTCCCTCCGCCACCCGAACGACTGCCCTGCAAGGTAGGCCGGCGCCGGCGCCTCTATCGCGGGTGGGACTGTGGCGGCTCTTCATGGACTTACTGGATCCATAGCCCCCCCCTTTCCCTTGCAGGAAACGCAGGGCGGCTCGCCACGGTCTCGCCCGTCCTCACAACAACCACCCTGTGAGGCAGGTTAGGTGGAGGATCCCAGGACCAGAGCCACCCAGGGAGCTGTGTGGCCAAGTGAGGATGCAAACCCAGATCGCCCGAGTCCCAGCCCAAGAATCCAACCACTGCACCACACTGCCTCTCAGCATGTCTCTAACCCTGGATCTGCTACTTCCCCTTTCTCTCTGCAGGAAGCTTGATCTGTACAGCATGGGCTGGAAACTGAAGGAGGACCTGCGGGACTGCTTGGTTGCTGCCGCCCCCTACGGTGGCCCCATCGGTGAGACAAGAAGCCGCTTGACTTCCTGGAGACGCTGGAGGGGTTGCCTGTTTCGCCTTCCTGGTCCTGGCACCAGTGGTTGGCGTGGGGATGACTTTGCCAAAACCCATGAGGACTAGCCTCCCACTTTATCCCAGCTTGGGGCGGGGTTTGAGGGATTGCAGGTGCTGCCCAAGGATCCTTGGAGGAAGGGTGGAATATAAATAGCCTGCATAAGTGAGTCGCTGCTTGGACCCCAGGGTGGCCTAAGGCCGAGTACAAGATGGCCCTCCTTTCTGCGTGCAAAGGGCAGCTTTCTTGCACAGCAGCAAAGGGGAAGCATCCTCCCCCAGGGCCGCTTTGGGGTCTCGGGGCAGGCTGGCCCCAGCGCCCGGCCAGCATGGTGCTGCGACGCCCCTCCTCTGCCGCCTGAGGCGCCCACCCACCTCTGTCTCATGGCCGGACCGCCCCCGCCAGGAGGCCCTGCTGCTCTGCAGGAGAAGGGCCAAGAGGCAGCTTGGGTCATCAGGCAGGAGAGCCACTTTTTTCCCGGGCCTGGGGCTTCTGAGGACCCCCGTTGGGGCCCAAGCGCCCTGCCAGCAACCCCAGAGAGGTAAACGGAGCAGGCAGGGTGTCTGCCCTGCCCTGCTCTCTCGCTGAACTGAAACGGAGGCGGTGCGAAGGGATGGGTGCCCCACCAGATCCCCAAGGACCAGCAACCCCCCCACCCCCGCCCAGCAGCCGGCTCTCACCGATAGCCCTCACCAGCCATGAAGTGCAAGCAACCCGATGCAACCCCCAGCGCATGCACGGAGTCCATCGTTCCCCGAACAGCAGCCCTCCCGAACCGGCTTCCATTCTGCCATGTTGGGCTGCAGATCCCATCATCCCCAGTCAGCATTCCACACAGGGCGAGCAAAACTTCCCTGTGTGTAGATAGCCAGCATGTTGGGCCCAGTGGAGCCACAGCCTGACTTGCCCCCTGATGCTGACGTTTTCCGGTGCCCTTTTGCCGGGGCGGAGGGGTCAGGCGGCAGCTCTGTGTGCATTCTCCCTTATAAAATAAACAAACACATAAATGCAGGCAGAGCTTTGCAGCAGTAATCCATGCTCTGGTAGCCTCTTGCTAGGGTTCTTGCAATGCTCTCTGTGTTGGGCTACCTTTGAAAACGGTCCAGAAACTTGGGTTGGTGAGGACTGGCCGATACGAGCGTATAACACCAGTCCTTTTTATCAGCTTCACTGCTTAGCCGTTGAAACCTGGGCCCAATTCAAAGTGTTAATATTTAAAACCTCGAATGGCTTGAGGCCCCTCTTCCCATGGACCCACAAGTCATCAGCGGAAGTCCTTCTCAGAGAGACTCCTCTGGAGGAAATGAGGAGAAAGGCCTTCTCAGCCATGGCACCCCACATCTGGAGTCTGCTCCCCAAAGCGAGCCTGGCAGTACCTCTCTCTTCTTTTTGGTGCTGGGCAAAGACCTTTTGATTCATGCAACATTTTAACCGTTAGGCAATTTTAAAGATCGTATGTTATTTATTACATCTTGGTGCTACCGTGCCTTTTAATGGTTTTTAATAGTTTAAGAGCTATGGTTAGTATGTGACTTTATTGTGATGGGGGCTTTTGTGTTTGATCTGTGATGTTATGGGTTTGTTTTTTTATGTACGCTGCTATTATTACATTGTTGTATAGGTGACCCACCCAGAGAGCTGTTCTGGCTATGGGGCAGGAGAAAAATCTAATAGACAGACAGACAGACACAGGCAAAGGACTAAGTGGCAACTTGGTTTCTTGCAAATTTTTCCTCTTCCTCTTTTAGCTTTACTGAAAACCAGGAAAGAGAAATCGCCCAGTTCACGGCCACTTCTTGAAATTTATTCTGCCTCTGGGGTCCTCCTGGCCAGCTGCCTGGTGAGTGAAGTTCCAAGCCCGGCACAATGTACGACGTGGGTTCATTCAAGGGCCTTCCAGGAGAGGGGACCGGATGACCTACAAGCTCCTTCTCCCAACGCACAGCTGCCTGTGATTCTCTAAAGTGCATGGTCTCATTTTAGCAGCATTTACACACACACACACACACACACACACACACACACACACACACACACAGAGAGAGAGAGAGAGAGAGAGAGAGAGAGAGAGAGAGAGAGAGAGGCAAGCAGTGTGTCCTTCCCGTGTGTCATTGTGCCAAACAAGAAAAGTTCCAGGGAGGTTGCTCTTGGCTTCCCCAACCTGGCACCCTCCAGATTTATTTATTTATTTGGAACACTTGTATGCTGCCCCATTCGCAAAAGCCTCAGGGTGGCTTCCAATATAAATAAATACTATACAATTACATTAAAAAACGCATCCCGGGAAGGTATAAAATCAATCAATAAATTTAACGATTAAAATAATGTTTAAATAAAAAGGTCTTGGCCTGGCACTGAAAAACAAATAACGACGGCGCCAGGCGGACCTCTCTGGGGAGCGCATTCCATAGGTTGGGCGCCACCGCAGAGAAGGCCCTCGTCCGGGTACTTGCCCTCCTGATATCTTTCACGGAGGGCTCCCGGAGAAGGGCCTCTGCCGCCGATCTCGGGGGGCGGCAGATGTGTTGGGTGCGTGCACGCTGGGAGTTGCAGGCCCGGCACATCTGGAGGGACCCAGCCGGAGATGCCTGAGCAGAGAGAGAGCTGGGCGAGGCGTCGCTGATGACTGCCCTCGGGGACTGATGGTGAGGAGCGTGCCGCGGTCAGTCGTGGTGTGCTTGAGCCAGGAAGCTCCGCGTGGCGAGCGTGAGTGCGCGCTTTTGTCCCCGCCTGCAGTGGAAGAACTCCGCGGTGGTGCAGCTGGGCTGGACGGCCAGCGAGGACTTGCTCTGCATCCAGGAGGATGGCTCGGTCCTCGTCTACACCCTCTTCTGCGAGTTCAAGCGCTGCTTCAGCTTGGGCAACGTAAGTGACTGGTGGCCGTCGGTGGGACCTGCTCTGGGAACAGCCATGTGGGGCCCTCCGGATGCTTTGGCCTACGACTCCCCTGTGCCTTAGCCGGCACGGCCAAGTGTGGGGCGACGGAAGGTGTAGGCCGAACCATCTGAGGGACCAAAAGCTGCCCACCCGGTTCTTGCCCTTTGGCCGTCAGCCAAATGCAGGGATTGAGTGTCAGGTGGAAATGGGACCTTCTGTAGAACATGGGCTTTTGTCTGAAAGCTAACACACGCAACTAGCCCTCATGGGACAGAGGGATCTCCTGAAATCACCAAAACAAACCGGGGCTTTTAGTCAGGTCACCCGGGCACTGAAAGGTGGGTCGGCTTCTGCCCCCAGTTTGCTCTCCTGGTTCCATGTGGACGTGTCACTGCTTCTGCCATCCCCTTTGTAGGAGGAAGAGACTTTCCAGGGCAGTTTGCAATAGCGTGCAGGGCGAGGGGAGCCCCTTCAGCCCGAGGCATGGGGGGTGCAGCCGAGAAGGGTGGTCCGGCCCCCTGGCCACGTGGGGGCCACAAATGCATCCACAGGAGTGCACAGAAATGATAAAAACAGCCACACATGCAGCGGTCTATTTTAGTATTATTCATAGTAATTGCTCTTTTCATTTCTCTGCCACCCCGTAACTGAAGCTCTTTGGGCGGTTTTCAGCAGTACGGGTGCTTTCTGCAGCAGCTTTGCCCCGTCAGCCTCTCGCTGTGCTGGGGATGACGGGCGCCGTAGTCCCACACTTCCAGAGAGCGCTGGGCTGTGGGAGGCTGCCCTGCTTCGCCCAGGATAACATCAGCTGGGCGTCACAATCATTGCGTATTAGACGGGGGTTTGCTTGAGCTGTGCTTGTCTGGCAAGCTGCCTTTCTCTCGGCTGGGTTCTGTACCGGGGCTCGGTCTCCCCGATCGTCCCTCTGTGATGCCCCCTGCTTGACCGGCCCCCCTTCGTCCCCCAGGAGGTGCTGCAGAACCACGTCCTGGAGGCCAAGGTGTTCCACACCGAGTGCGGCACGGGCCTGGCCGTCCTGACGGGGGCACACCGCTTCACCATGGTCATGAACACGGCTGACCTGAAGATCCGCAGGCTGCCCGAAGTGCCAGGTAATTCTCCCCCCTCCCCCCTCCCGGCTTCACCTGTGTGCTTCCGGTTGCTCGGCTGGCTTCCATTCCACACATGGCCAGTCTTTTCTTCCTTTAAAAATCCAACAGCATGCTGCTGGACGTCCTGATTGCAGAGTTTTTAAACCGCGAGGCCGCGAGGGCTGGCGCAGTCTGCTCTCTTGTTATTCCAGTGCTGGCTCAAGGCGCGGACTCTGGAATTTGGGGGCGGGGGGTGACCCACCACAGCCCTCTGCTGAGTCCCATGCAGTCCTTGCTCCTTGCGTGGTCAGATTCAACTTTCTTCTTGTGCTCCTCTGGTTGGCCTGCTGGCAGGAGCCTTAACCGTGATCTCCGCATCTCCCTCCCTCTGGCAGGTCTTCAGAAACCGCCATCCTGCTGGACGGTCCTGAGCCAGGACAGAGTGGGCGTCATCCTCCTGGCTGTGGGGCCAGACCTCTACCTTCTGGACAGCACCGCTTGCTCCCCAGTGGTGTGTGGGTCAGGCCTGGGCTACGTGGGGAATCTTGAACTCCCGTGCGGCCCTGGGTGGCCTTGGGAGAGCTGGGCAGGGAGCAGTCCTCTCATGCTTATCCAGGCCAATTCCCTGCAAAGGAGGAGTTTATTTTGGATCCCATAGTCTGCAGGATTTGGATCCCGCTCGTAGCCAAAACGGTCTCCAAGCGTAGCTTATGCAGACCAGCCATGAGACTCTGGGGCTTTTGCCACAGCATGGTGGCCCTTTGGGGGTTCTTTAGCCCCTGTTGAGTTGCCACCCTGTGGGGTAGCACAGCTGCCCTTCTGGATGAGGGGTTACGTATGCAGCCTGGCACTGAAGCTGGGTCGAATAGCCCACGATGAGCCTTGAAAGTCAGCGCCCGGATTCACACTTAACACTAACCCACGGCAGGGGTTGTTAAATTGTGGGCGGTTGTGTTCTGTGAAGCTGGCTTCCCTCAGGGAGTTGGGTAATTAGCAACAACCAACCCGGGAAGAGAGCCTGTGGTATGCTGTTGGTTTGTGAACTCCGGATTCTTTAAGCCATGGGGGGTTGTCTCATGTTAACCCAGCAATTAGGACTGATGGTGCGTTGTTCCGTGGGGTACGGAGGGGGTGGGCAAGCGTGCTCAAAAAGTGCTGCAACAGCAATTGGAAACGGGGAGGGAATGGCCGGGGGGCTGAGGCAACAAACTGTGGCTCTTTCAGTCACCTGCCGTACAAACCTTGGGTGGGGCAACAAACCATGAGTTTGAATAAACCATAATCCGAGTTGTGACAACCCAGATTCAAGCCGGACATCAGGAAGAGCTTCCTCACGGTCAGAGCAATAGGACAGGGGAACCGGCTGCCTGGAGGGGTGGGGGGCTCTCCTACACTGGGGACATTCAGGGCGAAATTGGACAGCCACCTGAGTGGGAGGGTGTGGCTTGGTGTCCTGCAACAGCAGGGGGATGGACCCGATGGCCTCCCTGGAAAATGGAAATGGCCGGGAAGAATTGCTAGTCGGCTCTCTGTTTTCAGACCCTGCCTGGACTGAGTCCGCTTCCTGGCTCCTGCCTGCAGATGGCGGTGTCTTTCAACTACCGCTACCTGGCCCTCTTCACCGAAACCGGCTATGTCTGGATGGGGAGGTCCCACTTGAAGGTGAGCACCAGATCCGGGGCTCAGGTAGTGAAAGGAGCCAAGGGCTGGAAAAGTTTTGCTAATCGGGTGACGGCAGTGGTAAGGAGGCGGGCAGGGCACTGTATAGTCTCTCCCAGCTCTTGGAAAAGGCCTCACCCATCCCTCTGGCTTTGGAGCGCACAGCCAGTGTTTGCAACCTTGAGGACTAGGAACTTGCTCCCCTGGTTGTCAAGGAAAGCTGAGCTTCTGTGCCCACTGCTGCTTCCTGCACTCCCAAGGTTAGCAGAGTCACATCGCAGGGTTAGATGCTTGGTCCGCTGAGTGCTGTCTACACTAGCCTTCCCCGACCAGGTGCTCTCCAGGTGCTCTTCCCGGGGTAGGTTTGGGAGCTCCGTTTTAGCAGAGTGAACTAACTGGAACTGCCCAGGTGGGGGAGTCCCACTTCTGGGGGGCAAATGTGTCTGGCAGGGCTTGGAGCTTAGCAGAAAATGCTCCAGCAGGTACCTTTGGCTTGGAAAGGCTGGAGCTTCTGTCTGCCTGGAAAGCTGCAGGCTCAGGGTGAGCCCAAGGGGGGAGCAGCAGCGTGACTGCCCAGGGAGACCGCAGAGCCAGAGCTAACCTGGCCCATCTGCCTGCATGGCCGAGGCTGCTGGGAGTCATGGTCCAAGGAAGGCAGGCGTCCCTCTGCCCTGCTCCGTCCTCCTCCAGGTCGTTTGGGTGAGGAAGGAGAGGGTCTAGCCAAGGCCTGGTCCCCAGCAGTTTGGGACCACCGCTCCCTCCAGCCCCAGCTAACGCGGCCAGTCGTCAGGGATTCTGGGAGCGGTAGTCCACCAGGTTGGAAAAGCCTGGTCTGTGGAGGCTGGCGGTGACTCTCCGGTGCCCCCCCCCCCACTGACTGTTGGCCATAGGTGGGATGGGACTGAAGGGGCCCTTTGCATGGGAGCCATGCTCGCTGCCTCGCACCGCCGGCCCTTCCCTGCACGTGGCCCGGGCACGGAGGGTCCCTTGGCCGGGTGATCGACCCATCGCAGCCCCCTCCCCGTTGACGCGCCCCCCCTGCCTTCCTGCAGGAAAAGCTGGGGGAGTTCAGCTGTGAGTTTCGCACACCACCCAAGCAGATGGCCTGGTGAGTCCTCCTGAGCCGCCTCCGTGGGCGCTTCTCTCCTGGGGGGTCCGGGAGAGGGAGGGGCACCTTCGACAAAGTCCAAACCTCCCTTGAGCCTGAGAGGGGGCTAAATTTCAGCTCAGATCTGGAGGGGGCAAGAGCAAGTTGTGCCAAACCCACTGCTCTTCAGGGGGGTTGGTTGAGGAGGGGGCAGTTTGCCCAAAGTTTGAATATCGTGTGTGTGTGTCTGTTTGAGAGGGAAGGAGGGAGAGATGATGTTGTTTTGCATTGATTGATCACAATTCTGTGTGGTGCAATAGCCAAAGCTCTCTGGGCAGTTTGAAACACTTAAAACCTCAAGCGCAACATGATGCGCTATAAACATATATAACCCGGTATGTGGAATTTGCTTCAAGGCCCGCACGGTTGCGGGCGGTGAGCACACCTGTCGGCCACTGCCTGGCGGACGGTCCCTAGTCCTGAAAGAAGCGTGAGGCTCTCGCTACGGCAGGTCCTCCCAGCAGGTGCCTTCCAGGTAGCTTGGCTACCTCTCCCAGGATCCCAGCCAGCCCTCCTGAAGACACCTGATCTGGGGAACCTGCCGGTGCGCTTTGCCAGCCCCCGAAGACAAAAAGTAATGCGGGCAAATCTCCACGTTGATTGATTGGTTGGTTTGTATAGAAGCTTCCGATCATGCTCTCTCTGGGTGGCCATCAAATTAGAAATGTCCATGATAACATTAAACAGTACAGTTAAAATATTAAATGTACAGTTAAAATATTAAAATATGAGGCTTCGGCAAGGGGCGGCATAGAAATGTTCTAATAATAATAATAATAATAATAATAATAAATAAACAAGACAGATCACACTAATCCAATCAGGCAAAAATGCAAATGAATAAAATGAATAAATTAAAACCAGTGCCATCGGTACAGGTGGTTTAAGTCGTGCCGTAGGCATGTTGAAAAAGCCACGTTTTCATCAGGCACCAAAACTCGGTAAAGTGGGTACCTGGCGGAACTCCGGTGGCGGGCGCTCCACGGTTGGGGCACCACCACTGAAAAGGCCCTGCTTCTCGCCACCTCCCCCGTGACCCCCCAGGGAGAGGATCCTACAGGAGGGCCTCCGTCGATGATCCTAGATGACAGGCAGGATTGTATGGAGTAAGGCTCACATCATGCTTGTGAAGGAGGGGGTGGCCAGGCTCCGGAGGCGCTTGTGCACGCGCAGAGAGCGGGGTGGGGAAGGCAGCTGTGCAGCAGCTTTGGGGGCCGACAGCAGCTCCTCACGGCACGCGTCTCTCGGCACGGCAGGTGCACCCGGCCCCGGAGCAAGCAGCGCGCCCTGGTGCTGGCGTGGGAGCGGCGCCTCCTCGTGGCTGGGGACGGCGACCAGAGCATTCAGTATCCTTGGCCGAAGCGCTTGTGGGGAGGGGGCGGCGGGGCAGGTTTGCCTAGAGCGGCGATTCCCCAGGGCGAACCCCAGGAGCGTCTCGCACACCCGTCGTGATCGGCAGCGTGCCGCGCGGCACCTGGCAGGAGCCCTCCCGCGAGTGCAGCCGTGGGGCCCCCCTTGTCTCCACCAGGGCTGGAGAGCCTCAGGCCTGGGGCCGGAGCCTGCCCGGCAGGCATCCCAGGTGGGCCCTCTGGGGCCCCCTCAGCCCCAGCACCTCCTTCCCTGGCCTCCCCCGCCCCAATTAGTGGGCCATTTCCTAACCATTGTGCAGGTCCTCCCCCTGACATGTTTTCCGGAGCATGCAGTGAGCCCGTCCGAGGCCCCAGCCCAGCCCTCCGGCTTCTCTTGACCACCAATTTATTTACTTACATCCTGCCTTTTTCCTTGCAAGGCTCTCCGGGCAGCTCCTCCTCCTCTCACAACAACAACCTTGCAAGGTAGGCTGGGCGGAGAGCCTGGGCCTGGCTTAATGCCACCCTGCGAGCTTCATGGCCAAGTGGGTTTCGAACCCAGGTCTCCTGAGTCCCCAGTCCCACCCTCCAACCCCCACACCACGCTGGCCGCCCGGCAGCTTCCCGGCTTTTGCCTGCTTTTCTCCCACCGCCCTGAAAGGTCGAAATGCCTCTGGCTACCCACAAGGAGACGGGGCGTCGTACTGTGGCCCTGGGCCCTTTGGCCGTCGGCCTCGCCCCCTTTTCCTCCAGTCCCTCCGATCGCTGGGCTGGAGAAGCTCAGCGCCCCGTTCCGGAGCTTTCCTCGGCAGGATGCCAGCGAAGGAGACGTCCGCCCTCTGCCGTCCTCGCGGTCCTTCTGGTCAGCAGGTCCTGCGTTCCTTAATGCCAACCGCAGGTACCCTCTGGATGAGGATTCGTACCTTGTGCCCGAGCTGGACGGCGTGCGGATCTTCTCCCGTTCCAGCCACGAATTCCTTCATGAGATCCCAGGTGCGCCTGCCGGGCAGGTCCGCGGACAGGGAGGACTGGGCGCGCCCTCCTTTCGCGGAGCAGGACCACGCGGCTCCCCGGTCCGCTTCCCCACTCTCCCTTCCTTTTCCAGAGGCCAGCCAGGAGATCTTCAAGATCGCCTCCATGGCCCCCGGGGCTTTGCTGCTGGAGGCGCAGAAGGAGTATGAGGTAAAGCGGGGTGAGCGGTGGAGGATGGCGAGGAAGGGGCGGCAGGGGAGTCGCCCCACGGGCCTCTTGGGAGAAGGGGAGGGCGAGGCCGCTCTCGCTCTCTCGCTGACGATGCGCGACTCCAGTGGATCATCCTGCGAAGCAGGCGGACGGGTGGGTGGGTGGGAGGTTGGAGACAGACCGAGCAAAGGCTGCCGTCGTACGGGTGGGGCGAGCTGTGCAATGCCCCTCCTCATATGGATTGATTTCTTCATTGATTTAAAATGTTGGTATACCGTCCCATCACAAATGTCTCAGGATGGCTTCCAGCAACGATGAAATAGAATGCAGATAAAAGGAAGAGTAGGATAGGTGTAAAACCACAGATTAAGACAGATTAGCAATTAAAATAGTGGGAGAATAAAAAGGTTTTCGCCTGGCGCCGAAAGGAAAGAAGCGTTGGCGCCAGGCGGACCTCTCTGGGGAGCTTGTTCCTCAGTCGGGGGGCCACCACAGAGAAGGCCCTCTTCCAGGTAGCCCCCTCCTGATCTCTTTCAAGGAGGTCTCCCAGAGAAGGACCTCCACCTCAGTTCTCAAGGGGTGGGAGGGCACATAGGGGAGAAGGCGCTCCTTCAGGAATCCCAGACCCAAGATGCAGCGATGGCACCAGTTTGGGCAAATTCAGAATGGGACTGACCAGGTGCGGGGGGTGGGGGCGGCAGGGCAACGGCAATCAGGGGTTACTAGCAACCTAGCAGATATTTAAATACAGATGAATAACACCTGCCTCTCGGCGGCCCAATATTGCGGCTTCACTTCGCATCGCTGCTTTCTATAGTGTGTGTGGTTATTCTCTCCCACGATGATGCTGGTGATGCAGCGTTTTATCACTGGCTGAAAAAAATAACTCCCGCCCATCCTTGGAAAATCCATGCTGTCCAGCACCCATCCGTGGAAAGCCGTCAGATGGGGGCTGGTGGTTTTGCTCCTCGGATCATGCGGGGATTGTGGCTCCACATGTCGGATGGGATGTGGGGCCCCGCCAGGGGGCCGCTGGGCGGAGTGGCGGGGCTGGGCTTGGCCACAGCTGCTGATCGGAGGGGATGTGAGGGAGGAGGGACTAACTTCATTCAAAACGCAGGCCTTAAACTCCTCTTCGCCACCGCTCCCTTTCTCTCCAGAAAGAGAGCCAGAAAGCCGATGAGTACCTGCGTGAGATCAAGGACCAGAAGCTCCTTCCGGAGGCCGTGGAGCAGTGCATCGCAGCCGCCAGTCACGAGCACGAGCCCCAAATCCAGAAGGCTCTTCTCCGGGTAAGGAGCAGTGGCCGCTTCCAGGTAGGGATTCGGAGAAACCGCGAGCCGGAAGGGGCCTCCCGGGCCTCTGGGCTGCCCCCGGCTCCTGCTGGCCCTGCTCGCGTACTCCCAACAGGTGGTTGTCCAGTCTTTCCTTGAACCTCCACCACCTCCCTCGGAAGCCCACTCCACACCCTCGGGGTCCTAACCATCAGGAAGTGCTTCCAGACATCCAGCCTGAAGCCTGGCTCCTTGCGCTTCGCCCCACTGGAGCGCATCCTGCCCTCCACTGCAGGGGAGGACAAGTCATGGCCCTCCTCCTCATGACATCCCCTCACATACCTCTAGGTCGCTAAAGGATTCCCTCGGAGTCTCCTCTTCTCCCGTTCCCTCAATCTCTCTTTGTAGGCCATCCCTCCCAGCCCAGCTGCCATCCTTGTGACCCTGCGCTGGACCGATTCTAACCCAGCTCTGTCTCCCCTACAATGTGGACCCAGAACCAGATGCACACCAGAGTCATGTACAGCGGTTCCAACACCTCCCTAGATCTGGAAGCCACGCTTCTGGCTGTGCATCCAAGGGTGGTGTTTGGCTTTTTAGCCACCGCATCACACTGCCGGCTCATGTTCAGCCTGCAGTCGACCAGCACCCTGAGGTCCCTTCCACAAGTGCTGCTCTCCAGCCACTTGCCCCCCATCTTGTACCTGTGGCACCTACTTCTGTGTCCCAAGTGCAGGACCTTGTGCTTGTCTGTATTGCTAGATCTATACTGCCCACTTGCATGCTCTGCCAGATTGCTTTGGATCTGGAGTGCCTGCTCCTCGCTTGTGGCCACTGCGCCCACTTAGGTATCGTCTGCAAATCTGGTCAGCAGACTGGCCAGCCCGTCCTCCAGGTCATTGATAAGAAGGTTGAACAGAATTGGTCCCAGAACCGAGCCCCAGGAGACTCTGCTCATCACCGGCTGCCATCCGGATGATTTTTTCTGGTGCTCCAATGGGCTGGAGTCTTCCTGTAAAAGAATCTGCGAGGTGGAGCCAAGTCCTGGGCTCAAACCTCCCCCAGACTGATCTCCAGCTAGGGATCATGAACGGGAACATGTTCCAGAATATTTGTCCATGAAAATTAGACTAATTTGCATTGCATATTGCAGCATCCGCGTAGGAAAAACCAGTTTGGATCCGAAACGTTTCCAGTGCAAATTAGGTTAATTTTGATCGGGTCATCTGCATAGAGAAGAAACATCAATTTGCATGGGAAATATTCTGGTGCCTGGAGGGACTTCATTTAGCACCTTTATTTTACTTTATTTTATTTATGTATTAAAATCTTTTCTAACCCGTCCCCTACAAATGTCTCAGGACGGCTTACAAGCTTGCTCTCTGTAAACAGCAAAACTTTAAAAATTCTTCCTGTTAATTAATGGGAAAAATTAAATTACCTTTAGAGCACAATCCTAGGCAAGTTTAGGCAGAAAAAATGCCCCATTGTGTGCCTTAACTATTATGTAGAATTTTTTATTGGAATACTTGGAAAAATGCCGAGGCGATAGCATGTACTTCTTTTACATACATAAACTTAAATAACATACATTTTCTGTCATATACTGGTGAAGCCTGGCTTGCAGACTTTCCAGCACATTCTGCCACCTTAAGGTCTAGACACCTGCATTCAAAACAAAACTTAGGCTCTCTCTTGCCCCCGGTCTTGCTAGGCGGCCTCCTTTGGGAAATGCTTCATCGACAAATTCTCCCCCGAGGGCTTTGTGGACACCTGCAGGAAGCTCCGGGTGCTCAACGCCATCCGCGACTACCAGATTGCGATCCCCCTCACCTTCGACCAGTATCCTTTTTCAAAAATAAAGCAGGGTGGCGGATTGGAATTGCCCTGTGGGCCAGACCCTTGCCGCCTGTGGGCAATTACCCCGGGGTCCCCGGCTTCCCTTGCGCAGCTCTTCCCGAGCGCATGCAGATCCGGGATGAGAAGCGTGCCTTTTTCCATCGTGGATGGCGCACCTGGTGCCCTTCAGGTGCATTTGGACTGCAGCTGCCATCATCCCCAGCTAGCAGGGAGTTGCAGTCTGACGCATCTGGAGGGCCTCCGAGGCTGGGGAAGGCAGCTCTGAGCTGAACCGAGCTAAGGGAGGTCGAAAGAGGGGCCCACCCCTGAGAAGACCCTGTCCCTAGAACTTGCCAGCCTGATCGGTCTTAAGGGTGAGCGCGAGAGGAGGGTTTTCGAGGCTTGCCAGGGTGTATGCTGCTCCCCAAATAATCCAGTCCACAGATACCAGTTAAGACCAGCACTTTGCAGACAGCCCGGTAACCAATGCAGGCTCCCCACAAGTAGCTTGGCGTTGGCTGGAGATGATCAGGAAGCAAAAGGTGCTGCTGTGTCATCAGATGAAAGACAAAAGTTTTCAGGTGTCTGCAGAAAAGGCCCATATTGCCCAATATATTTGAGCAAACTTTTCTCCTTCCTCGGGAGTCTTTTTTCTCAGATATCTCTGTTTCAGGATCTGAAGAAAAATAAGATGCCCCGACGAAAGAAAAATTAGTTTTCCAAAATGGATTGAGCCAAATAGAACATTTCTTCAGGCACCTGAGAATGCTTTTCTCTTTCACTCAGTGGCGGGGCTGTAGCCCAGCACACCGGGAGGGCACCGGCTTGGGGAGGCTGCGGCAGTGAGAATTTTTGGCCTCGCCTTATTGTTACATCAGCAGGTGCTTGGGCCTCATCGGGAATGGGCTCCCCACCTTCTGGAAGGATTTCTGGGCTGCACCAGCAGAAAACCTTCTTGGAGACTAGCAGGGAGCATCTCAGAAGGGGGCTTTTGAAGCTGCCCCCTTTTTCTTCTAGGAAGCATTGCATGTCAGGTTGAGCATTTAGAAAGCGAGCTTGGAGTGCAGACCTGGGAAACGATGCTGGATGGGGAGGAGAGGGGATCTGCCCCCCAACCCAGGAGTAGGGCAGCTTCCCGGCTTCCCGCATACTTACTGCCTGAGAAATTGTGGGCCTGATGTGCTGGGACAGGTCGGCTCGGCACACCTGTCCTGTGTGTGGTTTGGCCTTGACGGGTCCTGCAGGTACCGACAGCTGACCACACAAGTCTTGCTGGACAGGTGAGGCCCTCTTTCCTCCCCGGCCCCTGCCTGGTTTGGACTGTTCAGCATGGGGCGGGGGGTGCTAAGTCTGTTTCTGCAGGGCGGCCAAATTTTGGGGAAGCACCTGGGGCCACCTGCCATGGGGCGTGCCCAGAGTACCAAGGAAAGCGATATTTTAGCTTGGTTGCTGGCAGGTAAGCCTGGCGAGGGGGCACGGGGGCTGCTTAGAGCGTGGGGAGCGGGAGGTCTGTGGAAGGCAGGGCACTGTGGGTCAGGGAGCAGGGCAACCCCATACGGGCTGGATTGGGCCCCTGCCCCTGTTCTAGAAAGTTTCACGTGACCCTAGGCCAGCAGGCCGGATGCTGGGTTGCTTCCATTGCTCTGGGTGGGGGCTTAGAAGCCGAGGGAGCGCCTGGCATCAGCCCCCGCCAGCAGAGCCCGTGCGGGCGGGGAGGGAGGGAGGGGGCCCTGATGCGGACCCTATCTGGAGGGCCACGTGTTTCCCGCCCCTGCTATGGGTCGATGGCCTGTTGGCCTTAGGATCCAGTGAGGTGGCCCCGGATCGCATGAGGCACTCTTCCTGGACGTTGCATTCCTGCTGGAGCGGAGGCACGAGGCTCCGATTTGCTGCCCGGCGAGGCTGCTGGAGCGAAGGGGCGCCGTCCAGCCGGCTCAGCAGTGCCGGAAGGCCGAGGCAAGGAGCTGGCCAGCAGTGATGCACCGGGAGCCCCTGGGCGGGAGCTGCCCCTTCTGCAGCTGCCCCGGTCGCGGCTTTGCTTCCTGGCGCACAGGACGGTGCAGCGCTGGCTGCTCTGGGCAGCTTCCCTTGCAAGGAGGAGGAATCACGGAAGGGTCGAGGTGGAAGGCGCCCTGCAGCAGGCGGGCCTTGTGTGGCCTCTTGTCTGCGTGGGGTGTGGCCCCGATGCTGCTGCAGCCGTGAAGGCTCCTGGGCGGCTGGGGACGAGCGGGGAGGGGCTGAAGGTCGCCCAGCGGGTTCGCCGGGGGGCTGAGTCTTCAGGGCTGATGTCCCAGCGTTGCCTAGCCCTAGCCGCTGAGGCCCAGGGGTCTGGGCAGGATGTGAGGATTTCCTCCAGAGTCAGGTTCCGGGAGCCGATGGAGCACGAGAGCAGCTTGGGCTGAAACTCTGATCTAGCCCAGTTTTGGGGTCTGGCAGCCCAGCTGATGCTCCCCAGGAAACACCAGAGCAGGGCATGATGGGGAAAGTGTCTCCTTACTGGGGCTGAAGACACCAGAAGAGCTGGTGGAACTGGAGAGCGACTGGCCCCGGAGAGGGATGCTCAGACAGCAGGTGTCCGCAGACCCGTTCCCCCCCCCCCCCCCAACCCCCCCCAGCAGGCGTCTCCTCTAGACAAGTGGACTGTTCTGCCTTAGGTTGGTTCTGCGGAGGCTGTACCCCATCGCCATCAAGATCTCCGAGTACCTGCGCCTCTCCGAGTTCCAGGGTATCAGCAGGATCTTGGCCCACTGGGCCTGTTACAAGGTAGGAGCCGAAAGAGAGGTTCTCTGATCAGAGAAGGCCGGAGCGCTTTCCTCCCATCCTGGCTCACAGAAGCGTTGCGTGCCTCTCTCGCTGGCTTGCCTCACTATTTGGCTCCAAGCCTTTAGGCTGCCTTTGTACATCAGGGCCCCTCAAAGGGACCCCCAGAACGTGCCACCAGCCCACCGCCAATTAAAGCAAGAGTGCAGGGTGGGTCAACCAGCCAGCTTGCTCGGAGCAGGGGATTCGGCCGACATACCCAGACTTCCCAACCATTGATTCCCAGGTACAGCAGAAGGACAAGTCCGATGAGGAAGTGGCCCAAGCCATCAACCAGAAGCTGGGCGACACGCCGGGCATCTCTTACTCGGAGATCGCTGCCCGGGCGTACGACTGCGGCCGGCCGGAGCTGGCCATCAAGGTGCGAGGGGAGCAGGGCAGAGGCCTGCGGCTCGGCCGCCCCGTGGCCTGGAGCGGGGCGCAGCTCCTTGGCTGGGGCCAGATCTCCCCTGGGGGAAGCGGTGGGCAGGGGTGGAGGCGCACAGGCAGGACCAGCAGTGCCGGCACGTCAAGCTCTCACTGCCACTCCGTGAGCTCTGGCGGAAGGGGGAGAGGCATGAAAGGGGGGCACCGACCACGGTGCATGGCTGGGGAAAGGGGTCGGGGCCCGGAAGGGGATGCCGGGGTCCCGGGGAGGCGGGTTTGGCCCAGCTGCCCGAAGTGCTGCACCCCGGTTTGGCTCTGGGTGGTGGGTGGCCTCACTTCTTGCCAGGGGTCTCAGAGGACAACACGTCCCTCCCTCCCAGTTGCACCAGAGCAGACCCGCCCCGTGCTGCACCCAGGTCAACTTCTCCCGCGTAGGTTCGGCACCGTGGAAGCCAGTGTGGCCTCTCGGCTGCGTGTGAGCCCGATGGTGCCTCTGGCACAAGGCGGGCCCCCGGGTCGTGGCCGCGAGGGCATTCACGGCCGCTGCAGAGGGCGCTGCACTGTGCTTGCTTGCTTGCTTGCTTGCTTGCAGCTGCTGGAGTACGAGCCCCGGTCGGGCGAGCAGGTCCCCCTGCTGCTGAAGATGAAGAGGAGCCAGCTGGCCTTGAGCAAGGCGATCGAGAGTGGAGACACCGACCTGGGTAAGGGGGCTCCTCTCCCGCTGGCATCTGGCTGCGTGCCCCTGCGGGAGGCGGAGCTGCTCCGGCTGGCGTGGGGAGGAGCCCGAGCTTCACAAAACGACACCCGAGGGGTCACTGATGAGGCACCGTCCACAGCCCCCGCAGCCTGGCCTCTGCCCCCTTCCTTGTTTCTCAGCAGCTGGCTAGGAGCGTTTGCCCTGATTCCCCAGGGGATCGTAAGGGGGAGCAGCCAAACTGTTGGGGGACCGGTGGATGTGGCCCTTCACCCTTGGCCAAGGTGGAACTAGGCTGTATGGAACCGTACTCCCCGGAGGAGACTTAATGGCACGAGGCAACAACGAAACGCTGCTAATGCGTCTTTAAGCATATGGTCTAGCGAGGTCCAATTGCTGCCTCTTCCAGGGAGGAGACATGTATGTATGTATGTATGTATGTATGTATGTATGTATGTATGAATGAATGAGACTTCTATGCCACCCCATTCGCTGAAGCCTCGGGGCGGCTCACATCCATAAACAAACTTCCATAAAATAATATAAATTAACAGTATAAATTAAGTCGCCCTGGCCACTTACATGGATAAACTTACTATTGGAACATGATGTAAACATTTTAAAAGATTGCTTTCTCGATTCGTGGAAATTAATCAATACTCCTTTCGAGACTTAAAACCCTGATACTGAAACATCGGAAGAATAAACACTTGCCTCCTTCAATGTGATGGATTGAATTTCTTGCAGGACTTTCAGCATTCGAATGAGTGGGGTTCACGTCCTGCCAGCAAACGGATTCTTATCTGGATATTTGGTCTGCTTTGGTCAATGTTTATATATAATTCTTAGGACACACGTGTAAGAGACGTGTTACATAGGCATGCACTGAAACTGGCGTGTTCGCATTTATCTAGCTCTTTTCCTCTTTCTGTTTTGTCCTGTCAAAATGTCTCAGGAAAAAATCAATGAGCAGCAGCTCTCACGATCCCCGTTAGCTGGCCATGGTGGGGCGAGTTGTAGTCCCAAAGAAGGCATCCCGTTGTTGTTTTTTAAATAAGTTTTATTTGAAATTATAATCCTAAAAACAAACAAAACACCACAAACAACATCCATCCCGAAAAACATGGAGCCTGCTGGGTCAGCTCCCACACCCTTCTTTTTCCATTGATGATAACTTTAAAAACATATTTAACTCTATGCGAAGTCCCGTTTCTCTAGCCAATAATAAAAAGCAAAGAAGGCATCCCGTTACTCACCATCTTTCCCGCGGCTTTCCCCCTGCCCAGTTTATACGGTCGTCCTGCACCTGAAGAACGAGCTCAACCGCGGGGCCTTCTTCATGACCTTGCAGATCCAGCCGGTGGCCTTGGGTCTCTACCGCCAGGTGAGTCTCTGGACCGTGCGCTTCCCTCTAGGCCAAGGGTGTGTGCAGGTGTGTGCTTGAAGCGCCAGACCCGAAAACCCCGGCTCTGCCGTGAGATTAAGAAGCCGCCGCGAGAGGGGAGGATTTGGCGCAAAGAAAGGGGGCGATTTTGCACGGCTCCCAGAGCGCGGATCAGTTGCCGCTCATTCGTGGTGCGACTGGTGCAGCGAAAGCAGCGCCTGAAGAGAGACTCGCTGGGGCAACGGCTGCCTTGGGCGAGGACGTCTCTGGTGCCGGCAGGGTTGGGAACGGCCTCCGAAAAGCAGCCGTGGATGAGCAGCCTTGCCGGGCTTGCCACCCCCCCCTGCAGCTGGTGCCCTCCAGATGTTTTGGATTACGGCTCCCATCGCCACTGGCCATTGGCCACCCAGGTTTGGGGCTGATGGGAGTTGCTGTCTAAAATGTCAGGAGGGCGTCGATGCTTGACCCTGATCTCTGGCACCCTTCAGATGTTTTGGATTACAGCTCCCATCAGCCTTGGCCTGCATAGCTGGTGGTGAAGAATGCAGGGAGTTATAGGCCTGGTGCACCGGAGAGCACGGGACTGGGACTCAGATGATCCGGGTTCTGGTCCCCGCTCAGCCATGGAGCCAGCTGGGTGACTCTCGGCCCAGCCTACTTCACAGGGTTGTTGTTGTGGGCATAATACTGAGAGCAGGAGAGGCAGAATGAGAGGCAGTGTTGTGTAGTGGTTAAGAGCACAGGACTGGGACTCAGGCAATCTGGGTTCTGGTCCCTGCTCAGCCATGGAGCCCACTGGGTGACTCTGGGCCAGTCACAGACTCTCAGCCCAGCCTACCTCACGGGGTTGTTGTGGAGATAAGATTGCGAGCAGGAGGAAGAGAATGGTGTAAGCCACTTTGAGTGCTTAAAGGGAAAGAACGAAAGTGGGATATACATCTGATGAACAACTGCAGGGCACTCGGTCTGTGAAGACACTCTTGCAGACATTCTCCTGTTCAGGGTGTGAAAAGGAGCTTGTGCAGCTGGAAGTAGTGCTGAGCATTTCCATAGCGGGTCTTTCTGGTCCTTGGCATGCTCCATCCAACAGTCGCTCTGTGCTAAGGCCACCTAGTTATCCCCATGCTCCAGATGTGGAGACTGAGGCTGAAAGGGAACACCTGGCCAAAGGCCCGTTGCTCAGATCGCTGCAGAGGCAAGATCTGAACTGGGTCTTCCTGATGCCCTGCCGAGCCTGTTGGCTCCTGCGTTCTGGCCAAAGGAGCCACGGGGTTGCCGAACCCAGCCATTCCCTGCCAGAATGCCCGCCCCAAGGGCCAGACACCCGGGGATGCTCTTGCCACATCCTGGCTGTTCTTTTTGGAACAGTGTAGGGCCCTTAATTGGACACCTGCAAACACAGGGACAGAAGAAATAGCATATTGTAAGCGCCCTGCCACTCAAGGTCAAGCCGCTGAAACTGGAATCTAAAGCATTTTCCACATCATGTCAGTGCTTTCTCCCCAAATGTTCCCACCAAGGTGGGCATGAACTCCTTCCGGGGCTTGTTCTCCCTTAATGATTGGATTGCTGATCCCGCAGTTCTGCAAGCACCAGGAGCTGGACACACTCAAAGACCTCTACAACCAAGACGACGATCATCAGGAGCTGGGCAACTTCCACGTTCGCTCCAGCTACGTCACCGAGAAGGTGGGCGCTTGGGGAGTGATGGGAAGCAGAGGCCATGGGACTTGGCAGATCCGGAGCGGCACGATGGGGAGCCGGCAGGGCCGTGCTCATTGCATGCTTGCATGGCCCACACCCAAGAAATTAAAACCTCTGGCAGAACCTTTTGCACTGATTTCAAGAACCCACCAAGTTTCTAGCCCTTAGGGTTGTGAAGGGCAGGAACGCATGTGAACCTGCTGACGGCCTGATGAAATTTCAGAAAATGGCCCGGCGTAGCATTTGGGGTGTGGGGGTTGGTGGGGGTGTCAAACCTGATTCAGCTTGGACTGGATCCGTTTTGGAGAAACTCCAGGGCTACGTTTCAGTGCTTGGTGAGGCCAAACGGCAGCGTATCACGTCTTCACGCTTTCACTGGCAGCAGCAAACACCCTGGGAGATGCATGCTGGCCTTTCCGAATGGAGGAAAAACTGCACAAAAGCCGGGGCACCACCCAGAGATTGTCAGGTGGAGAGTGCAGGCAGGGGAAGGGGATGTGGCCTGGGGCAGCCTGGACCCCCCCACACCACACACACCCACACACACACACACAGACCCCAAGCAGATGGGATTCAGCACCTGGGCCAGAGGTTGTGCATCCCAGCTTTGCAGGATACACAGTCCCTTCCTGCTTCTCTTGGGGGAAGAAAAGAAAACCCAGTTCCAGGATGGCCCCAGGTGACACTCACAAACCCAGATTCCACCTTCTCGCCTCCTAGAAGATCGAGGGCCGTGTGTCCAGCCTGCAGAACGCTGTCGATGAGTATTACAAGGCCAAGAACGAGTTTGCGGCCAAGGTGAGCTCGCGGGCGTCTCCCTGCCCTGGGGCCATCACTGTCCCCGTGCCCACGTCGCCTCTTGCCTCTGGTTCGTCTGGGGCAACTGCGGGGGCTGCCTTGTCTGGCAACTCTGATGATGCCCCGATTCTGGATTTCTTTCGGGCCCCTGCTTTCCACGGGCCTGCGCTGAGCTCTTGCCTCCTGTCGAGCCGGGGCCACGCTCTTGGGGGAAAGGGGCTCCGAGCAACATGCAGAAAATACGAGGCTTGTATTAAAACACGGTTCTCCCTCTAGGGAGTTCTGGGCTTGGTCCTCTGATGCTGGCGATGCTTTGCCGCTTTGGTCAGGAGCAGCCAGGTGCGGCTGTTCCCTCCCGACTTGGGCGTGAGGGTGGGCTTTGTTTCCGGGGACTTGTGGGGGGTCCTTCTGCCTTGAGCCGGGGCTTGGCGTGCCAAACAGCCTGACCCAGCTGTGCTGGGCTCCCATTCTCACAGCCCGTAGTCTCTGGGAACCCCGACGGAAGGCCCCTGGGGCTGGTCCAGTTAGGGAAGGCTGGCCTGCAGAAACGCCAAGAAAAACACGCAACAGTCAAGTCCCGGCCTGGTAGTGGCTCCATTTGGATTGACTGTGGAGCTGCACTCGCGGAAGAGCGAGCCCCCGTGTGAGGCAGAGACCCTCCGTTCGGCCGTGGGTGACCCTGGCTGCCGAGGAGAAGACGCAGGGGTCCCGGTGGTCCCAGGGCCCGTGCCCAGCCTGCCAGAGGCAAAGAGGCGACCTCTGCGGGCCCCACTCTCCGTTTCCCACGGCTCTGCCTTCAGCTCTTTGAGGAAGCTTTGTGCGCGCACCCAGCTGCTCCGAGGGCACTTCTGCTCTGCGCTGGGGCCCAGAAGCCCCCTGCCGCCCGCTTTCCTCTGTCTTGGGATCTGCATCCTTCCACTTTGCCCCAGCATGTCCCCGCAGCGCTCTCCTGGAAGGGCCTGCAATCCTGAAGCCGCGTCCTTCAGCCGAATTGGACCTCTTTTGTCCAAGGGCTGAATTCCACCTTCGGATCAGCCTTTTGGGGGATGGTGATGGGGGGGTGGGGGCAAAAGGGCAAGGGCTAAGGACCAGCCTTTTTTAGGATGCAAAAAATGCACAGGAGCCAGAACACCCGCCAAAGGCAGGCTCGGGGGAATCAGGCAGTGCTGGATTTCGCCCCGGCTTTGGCCCAGCGGCCCCCCGCCGCCCCGCCTGCAGCCTCCCCTTCCCTGCCTCCTGCTCTCCAGGCCACCGAAGACCAGATCAAGCTGCTCCGTGTGCAGCGCCGCCTGCAAGACGACGTGGACAAGCCGTACCTGGACCTCTCCCTCCACGACACCGTCTACAACCTCATCCTGGAGGGGAACCACAAGCGAGCCGAGCAGCTGTACCGGGACTTCAAAATCCCCGACAAACGGTGAGACTGTGCCTGCGGCTGTGGTGCAGGCCATGTGGCCGTGGCGGCCCCCACGTGGCGGCCCCCAAGGCCGGAGGTGGGCTCTGAAAGGGACCAACGGGCCGGCGGGGGGCCGGCGGCTCCACGGTGAGGATGGGCCCATTGCCCGTCGGTCTCCCGTAGAGCAACACCCACAAGAGGTGCAGTTGGCGGAAGGGAACTTGGAGCCAGGGGCTTCTCGGGCTCAGGTGAGGCGGGCATGGCTCTTGACCCCGTGGCGTCGCCAGCAGAGGAGGGCAGCCCAGCCGGAGGAGTGGCCCATGGCGAGGAGGCCGCTCGGTTCCTGAAGGACCTGCCCCCAAGGGATGGGCCCAGGCTTGCTCACAAGGAGGGGATGACTGGATTGGATTCAACAAATTACTCTGTGCATGCTCAGAGGCTCATTCTGGGTGCTTTGTGCTTTTGAGTCAAAAAAGAACGCTTTGCCAGGAAAAAGGTCTGGGGCTTTTGAGGAACGCCGGCTCTTTTCCCCGGTGCCTGGCGTGCCCAGGACCCCTGCCTTGGGGACGGGGGAGCGTTTAGGCCTAGCGGCCGTTCCCAGGGCATCCACCTGGGCAGCCATCTCCACACCTCCTGGAAGCAAATTCCTTTGGCTGTGCACTGTGTGAAGGAGGAGCTCCTTTGATCTGTCTTGGACTTCCCACCATTTGGTTTCATGGAATGACCCCTTTGGGTTCCGGTGTTATGGAAGGGGGAGAAGAATGCCTTCCCCCACACGCGTACCCTGGCGAATTTTGCATACCTCTGAGACGTCTCCCTCGACTCGCCCTTTCTCTGAGAGGAGCAGTCCCAGATGACAGGTGATACAAACCCATTTCCTTCATTTTTTTAAAGTGCTCGTTTTCTTCTGTGCTGAGGCCATTGCTACTGTTTTATTATGAGGTTCGTGAAGATAATTGCAACCAAATGCTCTGTTTCTCTTAAAATACACTACGATCGTGTCCCAGACCAGGCATTTGGGCTGAATTCTGCTTGTTCCTTGGAAACTGAAGGCATCTGCAACCTGGAGTTGCACCCGCCTCTTATTGTGAGGAATTACAGGTGTGAGGTCTATGCTGGTGACAGGATGGCCCAGGCACTCCAGCGCGTCTTTAGGTCAGGCCTGGGCAGTGGCGTTGACCCACGTGCGTGGGGAGCTGGAGTCCAGCCCTCGCCAGGCTCCCAAGATGCTGCCATTTCTTAGCCTGGCTCCGCATGTTCCTCCTTTGACAGCTTCTGGTGGCTGAAGATCAGCGCCCTGGCTGAGACGGGAAACTGGGAGGAGCTGGAGAAGTTCTCCAAATTGAAGAAGTCTCCCATTGGATACCTGGTAAGACCTGCTGCCCGGAGTCTGGCCTTGCGGAGCACCTGTAGCCAGCCGGGCCGGCTCTGCACCATGTGTTGGGATTGCTTGGGCCATGGAGCCGTTTCTGAGAAGGCCGTGTGTCTCGTTTCCTTTCCGCAGCAACCCCCCCGCCTTTGCTTTTCTATTTCTTCAAGATTAGAAGTCCAAGCATGTTTTAATTTATACACCTGCATCCCAAATGTTGTCAGCCGCTTCTCTCTGTGCTGTCAGCTTAGCTGCTTGTGTGTATTGGTTTGTGTAATTTATCATTAAGGCTTTAATCTTTCTAAACTGCCCAGAGAATTTAGGCCGTTGGATAGGCTAGAAATGTAATAAATGACATGAAATGAAGCTGAAACCATGCAGAACTTCAGGCTAGCTATTTAAAGCCAGGTGGGCAACCTTTTTGGCTCTGAGGGCAATGCAGTGGGTCCAGAATCCCCCCCCCCACACACACACACACTTTTTCTAGGTACACACACAGGAGAGAGGAGGTCATGGTACAGGTGCGAAGGAAACTGGGGGGCAGCCTCTTTCCCGCGCCTGCTCTGGGGTGAATCCCTGCGTTCTGTGCCGCGCATGTAAGTGTGCCGGGGGCACCATCCTTTTCTCCCGCAGCCTTTTGTTGAGATCGCCATGAAGCACCACAACCGCCACGAGGCCAAGAAGTTTGCCACCCGCGTGGCCCCAGAACAGAGGGTGAAGGCCTTCCTCTTGGTGGGGTACGTTTCACAGCCTCCTGCAAGAGGCTGACCTTGGGCTGCTAGTGGGGATCTCCCTTCCCATGGGGCACTTCGGGCCCCCTTTGGTCAGCATTCCCCACATGGTTCTGTGGGGGCCCTGGCCACGGGGGAAGCCGTAGGCTCAAAGCACAGGGGCAGCTTTGGCACCCACACGGCATGTTCCGAGGTGGTAGCATATCACTCCGAGAAGCGGGAAAAGCAGTAGAAAGGCCCTGCTCCATGTGCAGTTAATGTTGCAAAGAGGATGGTATGGAGTGGGGGGCCTTTGTGGGCATTGGAGGGGCTGGAGAAGTCGAATCAGGATGCTAGTCCCTGTTGAGGAACTAGAAGATGGGCTGGAAGCTGGCTTCAGTGGGACAACCACCTTCTAAGTAATGCTTCCACAACCTGGACAGCACTGTCCCACATTCCCCTTCCCAGCTGCCAAGGGGACGGCTGGGAATACCCGGACTTGTGCCCGGCACCTCTGGAGGGCATCAGGCTGGCCAAGCTTGGTGCACAGCACACCGCGAGCGTCTGCTGGCGCCCAGGCTCGGCCTTTACTTGCATTTCCCCTCTCTTCCCACTTCGACACCAGGGACCTGTCCCAGGCTGCTGACGCCGCCATCGAGCGCAAAAGCGAGAGCGAGATGAATCTCATCCTGTCCAAGTGCACGGACGCCACGGTCACCGCCAAGCTCAACCACGCCAAGGCGCAGATTGGGAAGAAATGATCTCTCCCACTTCCCCGGCCTCGCAGCCCCTCCTCACAGCACTGCAGCCTTGCCCAGGGCAGGACCTTGTGCGAAGGGGCAGGCCAGCTGCAGCGAGAGCTCAGGCGCTCCACAAGGAGGTAGTCCATGGTGCGGAAAGGGCCCAGGAAAAGAGTCGGCCCTCTTTTCCCTCCACAGCCCCGATCTGATGTGTGTGTGCTTGTGCTGAGCAGTTTTTGCTAGAATCAGAAATCGGCAGCCCGTCCCTCCATTGCTTCCTCTTCAGCCTTCCGCGTTTTCTGCCCATTTGCTCTTCCTCCGGTGCCTTCAAGACCACCCGCAGGGACCACACATGTCCCGGTGCCCCTCTAATCTTTCCCACTTGTAGGTCAACAGCATCCAGCCCTTTTCTCTCCACCCTGCTGGACTGGGGAGCACAGGTTTGAAGCTGCCTCCCCTCCTCACTGCTGGTTCCTTTTGGCCACATCCCTGCTACACCGCATCACCCCCGAAGCAAGAAACTGGAGCCCCCTTCTGGAGTGACGGTTCGTGCCTGAAAGAGGCCGAGGTGTGCCCGGGGTGCATGTGACAGAAATCTTAGGGTGGGCCCGTGAGTGCATCTCCGGCGTACCTGCACCCGGAGCCTACCGACCCCGCCACACATTTGCAGAGTCCGAAGAGTTTGTGGAAGAGAATAAAACTGCTCCTACCCTGACGGCAGCGCTAGACTCCTTTTCTCAGTCCTCCGGCCCTTTCCCTGCCCTGAATAGTGTCCTGCTGGGGTCATTTCATCGATCGCCCCACCTGTGCCTCAAATAATTCCGCCCAAGCGTTGAGGGATGACGTGTCCCCGGAGGCCGCCCTGCACCTTTTCCAGGACAGAAAAACCGAATGGTCCCGCGTAGCCCCGGAAGGTGCTGACTTCCTGAACAGCCGCCAACGGGCTGTGAAACGGGGTAGGCTGCTCGTGCGCTGGGCTCCCAGATCAGCCCCGAAGGGCCGAAAGAAAACATTTTTTTCAATGCACCACGATGGCCAGCGTTTGGCACCAAGCCTGCTCCATTTGGTGGCCCAAAGTCCCTGGGTGGGCTTTCGCCCGGGCTCACCTTTTCACCCCCCCCCACACACACACACCTCAGTGGGAGCCGTGCCTGGGAGTGCCGGTGGAGAGGCCTTCGCTCAGGCGGGCCAAGGACCCCTTGACCAGACCCAGCCGCCACGGCTGTTTCCCTGCAGGCTTTGCTGCCTCGGACTTACTGGCTGGTCCAACCCAGGTGAGCAGGTCTGTTCCCTGGCACGGCCATTCCTCCCTGCAAAGGATTCGGCCATTCTGCCTGCTCTTGCTCCAGCCCTGGCAAGCCGCCACCGGTCTAGCTTTCCCAGCAGAGAAGGGGCTTTTGCACCACCTGGCCTGTCAGTGGAGAGGCCTCTGTTTCGCCTCCGAGCTGTTCCCGTCCCCAGCTCACGGTCGTCATGGGACTTGCTTTTGAGCAGACCCATAGAGCAGCACAATGAACCCAGCAAGTCTCCAAATGTGCTGCTCCAGTGGATCCCCACACACAGGCATTGCCATGGGTGCAGCGGCGGCTCCTCCGTGGAAACACACAGCGGTGCTGGCCGGCCTCCTCTGGCTCTTTATGCACAATAAACGCGCGTGAAAGGGAGGCATCCCGCAAGCTGCAGCGGGGTTCAAGTGCGTAATTCTGCAGCACCACAAGTGCACACGGGTCAGCGGGTGATTCGGATCGAGAGAGTCCAGGGGGGCGCTGGCCCAGAAGGGGCCTGACGTGGAACCCGGCCAAAGGCTCCCCTGGCGCAGCAGTCTGGTCTCAAAGCTGAACTGAGAAACTCGCCGCTGAATGGAGTCGCCTCCCCCAGTGCCGCGGAGGGCTAGGCAGCGTCCTGCAGATTGGGAGAGCGGGTTCCTCCCAATCCCCAGCCGGACATAAAGCTCAGCTTGGGCCACTCGCCGCCCCTCAGCCCAGCCCAACGGAGGGAGGGGGCTGCTGCGAGGATAAAACGGGGCGGGGGGGGGTCTCCCCGGGGTGGGGGGGGACGCGGGACAGAAGCGTCCTCGGAGCCCCCCGGTGCAGCGG